TGACATCATGTAATGCTTGTTTAAAGTTATCTAGGGATTTTCTCATTTAATTAGACAAAATACTAGTATAGAATTTTAATGTCACTGTCATAAAGCAACATTTTACACAATAACTGTTGATTTGCAGGATATATATATATGTATACTGTATATAGTATGATATTTGATATTTAATTGTGCATTTTTATTTCCCATATTTTTAGATTACCTTTGCCGTTATCTACTGCAAAAAATAATAAGTTAATATTTTACTGTTTCATTATTTTTTATTTAATAATGATTAATATTAATCCTGTAATTTATTCTAATGAAAGTAAATAATGTAATAGCACTGTTAAATGTAATAACAAATTATTAATATGCATTTTTATACTGTACATATAATGTTGTGGTGACTTGTGGCATTTAAAAAAAAGAGAGTTTTAAAAATGTATTTATTTCAATTTATTTAGACAAAAGTGGTATAGAATTTTTATATCACTGCCCTAAAGCATAATTTTGCACTTTACCTTTTGATTTGTAGTATATCGCTGTGAACTAACTGATATTTTCACTCGCACAGGAAATAGATCAGGGCTTGTCTGTGAAACCCACAGCACCACTGACCACATCCAATGGTGAAGCTCCTCCACATACAGCCAGTGAGACCACCATCCAGTCCACCGGTGGCAGTGGAGAACAGGTAGCACTCTCAGCATCTGAGCATAATTCAACACTGGATGCAGACACTGTGGATCATTCAGCATTGAACAACAGTAATCAGTCACCGCAGTCCACGTCTGACACCCGTTCAGTGACTCCACCAACTACACCAGCTGGTACAACATACTCCTCTCTATAATTGTGTTATTGTACTGCATGCATTTACAACCTGTCTCGTCAGTTTTACAAAGTAAATGAAAAAGAAACCAAATCAATGTCTATTTTACAAAGCAGACGTATCTGTAATGCATTAAAACCTTGTGTAATGTCATTTGTTTTAAGTAGCAGTGCGAGAGCTGGTCGTGTCTGCTGGCAAAAATGTGGAGGTCACTTTACCGCGCAATGAGGTGGAGCTGAATGCTTTCGTAGTGCCAGCGCCCCCTTCAGGTACTGCTCTGCATAAGCCATTGCAGTTAGTTCCTCCTCCTTCATCTTTGTATTCATTTCTCTGGTAATTCCTTTAGGGGCTAACTATGCCTTTAATTGGCGTTTGAGGACACATCCAAAAGACTACAGTGGAGAAATGGAGGGTAAACACAGCAAGACACTTAAGCTCAGTAAGGTACAGAAAAAATGGGTCTCTTATTCTTTTATTGTCTAAAAGGCGTGACTTTTTAATATTCTAGATTTTCCTAATATTCTGAACAATGTTTCCCTTAGCTGACAGTGGGCCTCTATGAGTTTGAAGTGGTAGTGGATGGTGACGGTGCTCATGGGGAGGGATGCGTCAACGTTACTGTCAATCCAGGTAACTTTAGTATTGATGTACCTGCTAATTGTACCGGATTCAGTTTTCAGAGTTGCACTCTGTTTGGGCAGCCCGTATAAATGTCACATAAAATATGTATAAGTCTCGTGTTTCTTGCTTTCTATAGAGCCGCGAATTAATAAGCCACCTGTTGCAGTGGTTTCTCCAAAGTACCAGGAAATCTCCCTGCCTACAAGCTCCACTGTGATTGATGGCAATCGTGCGTATCAGATTTTTATCAAATTAGACTTAATGTTGTTTTATCCTTACAATAGCATTTTATACTCATTGTATTATTATTTACTGACCATTTTTTT